TCAAGAAGTTCACATCTGAGGGAGAACAGACAGTTATAATAATGAAAATGTGAGGGTTTTGTAATAGAGGTATAAAAAAGTTTTGAACAAGTTGAGGCATAAATATTCACAAAAGTACTTTGCAAGAGACAATTATTTTACTCTTTACACACATAGAAGATTAGTTTGTATACAGGAAAGATTACTTTTGCAAAGAGTATGCAATCTCGATTCAATTTTTTGACTTCAAGAGTCAAATTCATCAAGAAAATATGACAGCAGAGACATTTTCACTTTGTCAAAATGAATGCGATCTCATTTCTCCTTTTCTTCTAAATACTATTTTCCCATAGTTTACATAGTCTTTGCTTACATGCAAAAATATTCTTCTTGACAGTCCCCTATCTTTTGAGGGGTAACACAAACCCAGTCTTCTTCTTTTTTTTTTTTAAGATTTTATTTATTTATTTGAGAGAGAGAAAGAGAACAGGTAGGATAAATGGCAGAGGGAGAGGGAGAAGCATGCTCCTTGCTGAGCAGGGAGCCTAACTGACTTGGGGCTCTATCCCAGGACCCTGGGATCATGACCTGAGCTAAAGGCAGAACTTAACCAATTGAGCTGCTCAGGAGCCCCAACAAACCCAGTCTTCTATAAGAAATCTAAAACAGAGCTTGTCCATAGGTATCTTTTTCTACTTCGTGATTCACAATAGGTTGCTTCTAATAAATATTTGGCATTTAGCTACAACTGTCTTGGCTAGCTGACTAGTCAATAAAAGAAAAAGGGCATGTGGCTTCCTAGTACAGTGATGAGGGAAGAAACATATTGATGAAGTTGAAGATGATGATGATGATTATAATGATAAATTATGGATAAACCTTTATTTAGCATTGTTTCATTAATCCTCACCCCAGATAAGATGTATAATGCTATTATCTCCATGTTACAGATGAGAAAACTGAGTCTCAGAATTTTAAAGTAACTTACCTGTTCATATAATTTGCAGGTAACACAACCAGAATTCAAACTTAGATTTGTGTGGCCTCAGTGGTGTTCTTAATCATGTTGTTATTTGCATTGATGTTTATTAAAATAATGCTGACAGTTGGAAGCAATTTGTAAAAGATCCTGATCAATTTAATGAACTCATCTATTTGTCTCTGATAGGGAACTGGCTCTTTGACTTAAGTGAGGAGATTTGCCCAGTTCTGATTATTTCCAGATTTCAGTAATTTTATAGCTAGAAGAAATCTTACTGATCAGATCCCTCCAACTTCTTATTTGAAGGGTGAAGAAGACTCAGAGCGAGCCTCAGTGACCAGGCATGCCCAGCTGTCCTGTCCATAGCTCAGCATTCTGTCATCCTGTGCTGAAATCTTCCTCACCCTAGAAATAGGCTTATGAGATTGAAAACAGTCTAGCCCTTTACAACTCAATGGCACCTTCATGAAGATGACAGATGATAGCTTGATCAATCAATAGATGTGTTTATGTCTAAATATCTTCTTTGGGAATGTTTGAGATATCTGAGTCCTTTGGCCTTAAATTTAAATTGTCCCAAAGAGGGACACCTGGGTGGCTCAGCAGTTGAGCATCTTCCTTCAGCTCAGGGGGTGATCCTGGAGTACCAGGATCGAGTCGAGTCCCACATCAGGTTCCCATTATGGAGCTGCTTTTCTCCTGCCTATGTCTCTGCCTCTCTCTCTGTGTGTCTCATGAATAAATAAATAAAATCTTTTAAAAAATAAATTGTCCCAAAGAGTTTTAGTATTTATTGGTGTTACTTTGTACAGTGTCTCATCCCTCTTGTTGCCCAGCTTGCTCTATTAGTTTGTCTGCTTTTAATGCTCTCTCACTTGATTTGCTATTGCAAATAGTGGGAAAGCAGATGACCACGTGTTAAAACCATGCTTAAGATAAAAATAAATAGACTCCAAGTGAATTGTAAGGAGGCTTTATTAAATAAGATGGATTTTAAAAATTTATTAATTTACATTTTTTAAGGATTTATTTATTTATTTGAGAGAGAGAAAGAGCAAGTGGGAGAGGCAGAGGCAGAGGAAGAAAGAGTCCCAAGCAAGCTCTGAGCTGACTGCGTAGTCCAACGCAGGGCTCAGTCTCACAACCATGAGATCACACCCTGTGCCAAAACCGAGAGTTGAACACTTAACCAACTGTGCCTCTCAGGCACCCCAAGGATGTGTTTTTATATTTAAACTTTGGGACCATTTCAGCTTTTAGAAACTAGATTGTTTTTGTCTTGGTCTTTGCTTTTGTTGTTGTTGTTGTTTTCTTTGTCTGTTGCCCATTCTAGACCATGGTAAGATTCATGAATAAATCATATCTGCATAAAGATAAAAATACCTGAATACATTTTAATGACCACATTTTCAGTTTAGAACACAAATCCTCTTTCACATGGAGTTTTTTTTCTATTGTGGAAATTATGGCTCAGAACGATTGAAACTTTTAAAATACAACCACAGAGCTCACTTTCAGTTCCCAGATTCCTAACCTCATTCCTTTGGGAATCCAATAAACTGAGAGGCAGTATGACTTTGCAGAGAAAATACCTCTCTTCTCATAGCAACCAACCTTAATTGAGTTCCAACCAGCGGAGATTGTTGCCACATCCTGGGGTGTGCAGTTAGTAAGGGAGTCAGAGAGTATTCCCTCTCTGTCTAATATGACTTGGTTTAAACTGTTAAACTCATAATCCAAGTATTTACAAGCTGCCAGTTGACAAGGTGAAGCAGCTTTTTCTTCATTCCTGGACACTGTGACAGGTGAATGAATGAAAGGCAAACAGTAACAAAACACAACATCAGAAAAGTTTAACTATTTTCATATTTCTATACTTAGAGAAGATGTGTTTATTACATGAAAAGATTTAGCTATTAGTGGGATCTTTGGAGGGCCAATAGAAAAAAAAATCCCTTCATTTTCTGAATTCCGAACTAGTTGAGAATCACAACCAAAGCCTAAGGCAGAAAGGCATCATAATATCTCCTGTATTTGCTGATGTATTATTGAAGAATATTTGCACACACATAAACTTTAAACCTGAAACTCAATCCTGACCAGTTGTACTCACTCACTAGGACAGGTTTCTCACACCAGCAGAGTTGGATGTAGCCTTCCCCATGAAAGGGGGATGGGCCCACAACAAATTTCTCATCCTAACTCTTTCACCTGGTAAGTCAACCCAGTTTCCCTGGAGTGGCAGGTGTGAGGGGCAGAAAGAGGCAGGAGAGTGAGACAGTGGTGCTTCCTCCACATAAAAAACAAAATCAAACAAAACAAAAACAAAAAACAACAAACCAAAAAAAAAAAAAAAAAGAAAAAGAAAAAAATAACCCTGAGGAATGGGGAATAAATATCCCTAAACATTGGGGGTGTATGTGGACATTTGTAGTGCAAGGCTTATTGTCTATGTACAGTGTTTTATATATGTTGTATCATTTTTTTATTTTATTTTTTATGTTTTATCATTTAATCTTAAAATACATTATCTCCCACCCAGGCCCAACTCCACCCTATGAACATTGTGAAGGAGTTACTATAAATATTATTAACACCACTTAAAGGTGAGAAAGTGGACTTAGAGAGGATGCTCACCTTGCTCAAAAGTGAACATGAATGGTCACAAGAAAAGCCAAGTCTCATGCAGACCTATCTGACTCAGAAACCCATTCTTCCACATCTCCAGTTTCTTGTGAGCAGTTTCTTATGTTAATACATCTGGAAACACTTATCCAGGCAAATAAGAATTCTTAGTTGAAAATCCTTGTAAAGCTGTGTTGTTGGGAATTTGGTAATTCACCAATATAAAGTTTAGACTGTGATTTTAACTTTTTTTTTTTACATAATTTTAAACTTACAGAAAAGATGCAAAATGGTTCAGAGAGTTTCCAGATGCCCTTTACATAGCTTCTTGTAATGTAAACATCTTATAGAATCCTAGCAAAATTACCAAAAACAGAAGATTGATAGTGGTACAACACTATTAGATAAATGACAAACGTTACTCAAATTTTACATTGTTTTCAATATTGACTCTGACATCTTTTGAGGACAGTAACTGTATTCTATTCATTTTCATATCCACAGTGCCCATTGGTAAGTCTGCTCTAGAGTCGGTGATCCATAGCTGTTTGTGGAATGAGTGAATGGATGTCAATGAATGAATGGTTGTTGAGCTCCGTAATACAACTTCTATGTATTTGTGTGTATTAGGCTTGCCACAGATATAGAAACACACAGGGATTATGATCTGAATAAATGTTAGATCTAAATTCCACAATAGGCTTTGTAAAGTATGGTTCTTTAAAACTGTGAAAACTTTTCAAAAGCAAAAGAGAGTGTACTAACTGGATTGAAACAGATACAGCAGAATTTACTAAATGGGCAGAAAGCTACAGTACTACATTCATTTTATGTGTGTGTGTGTGTGTGTGTGCGCGTGCATGTGTGTATTTCATATCACATTTCAGTAAATGCCCAGGCAAAAGAAGCAGCAGTTGCTAGCAGTGGGTCCTGCATTTCTAGGCAGGTAAAAGGATTTTGCATTGAACCAAATCATAGAAACTCTCTTTCTGGAAGACGAAATCTACAGAGATGCTTTTAAGGCTTCTATTTTCTTCCTCACTGAGTTCCACAGAGATAACATTGACAAAAGTGAGAGTTTTGCTATGACAGTGAAGCTGACAGCTTCAAAAATAAACACTCTTTTATCTCAACCTTTGTAACCAAAGAATATGAAACCAGGAGAGAGGTAATATTCAAAGCACAGAATTCCTTCTAGTAGCTTAATGGACCTTAAAATGGCCACTTTTCATACTCTTTTCTCTGTCTTATTTTAACCAAACTAAAAATATTAATGTGACAAAGTATAGGAAGGCAAAGATATGGCATTGTACTTAGTTGGGCAAGACTGGTATAAAAAGTTATTATGAAAACTGATTTTTCTCAGAAAGTTCAACTTTTAAAAGATTTTAATTATTTTATTATTGTTATTTAGATGGAAGACGTCATAGCTCGCATGCAAGATGAAAAAAATGGAATTCCTATTCGTACTGTCAAAAGCTTTCTTTCCAAGATACCTAGCGTCTTCTCTGGTAAGTGTGCATTCAGTGCAGCACTGTTTTCTCTAGCACCTTTGACATAACTATTTAAAATCAATTCTAGCCACTCAGTATTGAAACTTTCTAATTATTCAGTAACTCCTTGTGAAATAACCCATACCATGTTCAACATCATGTTGGACCCTTGGAGTAATAGCAAAACAAAACAAACAAAAATCATGACTTGACTTTACTCTGGGTCAGTTGGAGAGACATTATGAACAAATGTGAAATAACAGAAGATGATATTAAAGGTGGATGAAATAATGTGGTATAGATAATATAGAAAAATTAGGAGGATAAGGGATGCCTGGGTGGCTCAGTGGGTTAAGTGTCTGACTGTTGGTCTCAGTTTTGGTCTTGATCTCTGGATCATGTGTTTAAGCCCTTCTTTGGGCTCCATGCTAGGCAATGAAGCCTACTTAAAAAAAAAAAAAAAAGGATGAAAAAAATCAGTCAGGAAGGGGTTCCTGAACAACAGTGGTGAGCCCAATTTGAAAAGTGAAAAGTCAAAAAAAAATAATAAAATTTAAAAAAAGAAAAGTGAAAAGTCATATCAGCTTCAAGACCACCAACTGTATAGAACTGGAGGTGACCAGGGTGAGAATATGTAGACATAGAAGTGTGCAGAGAAGCTGTAGAGATGGAAAAGAAAGACGTGGGTCAGGATGAGAGTCTTTGAAAGCCAACCCAAGAATCTAATTCTGATGCATGGAAAATGTGGAGATGTGTCATGCTCTCACAGAGCACGTTATGATGAAGGTGCTTGGGGGAAATTGGTGTTGAGTGAGGGCTGTTGTCACCATGGTAGGTCCAAGGTCTGTGTAGGAATAGTTCAGGTACCAACGTTCCATTATCTGAGGAGTGAAGGAATACAGAGGAAGAAACATGAGCATCTGTTAAATAACTAGACATATAGGCTATAAGAGGACATGACCCAATATTGTTTGGTTTTGTTTTTTAATTGGATGACTGTGAGACTGAGGGATCATTAGTAGAAATAAGGAAACTCCATAGTTTGATTGGAAGTGACTGGAGAAACTCTAGAGAAAATGGTAGTGATGAGTTAGAAATCTGTGCTCTGGCTCCACAAGGCTGGGGATGCCCAAGCTGTGGGACATAGGCATGCTGGGCCCAGGCTAGCATGGCTTGGAGAAGAAGCAGAATCAGACCAGAGCCCTCAGATCTGGTGAGTCAGCAGGGTAAGGAGGCTGGACTGAGCCTGTGGAGGAGATGCATGATGGGGTTCCTGAATGAGGGAGGGTTCTGTGGTGCTTCCTTGTGGACAAGGGTTGAAGGAAGCACAGTGGCCAACAGGTCTTCAGCCTTGGTGAGAGGTAGAAATTAGGACCAGAATACAAAGAGGCAGGCCCAGATGTTGGTGTTTAGTGGCTGCATTACTCTTTGATGAAAGGGAGAGAGAACAAGGACCAGGCAAAAGCTGCAGTAGGAAGACATTAGCTCTCACAAAATATGCCCTCTTTTTCCTATTACTGCCTTTCATGCCCATTTTGCTCCAGTTTCCGGCTCTTCTTTGATGATAGCCTGTATTTTCTCACATCTGGGGCTTTACTCCATCTCTTACACCCTCTCACTGACTCACTTCCTGACTTGAAGGTCATTCTGACTATGAAATTCTGTCCATTCCTTAACAGATAGTTCAGAGAACTCTTTTGAGAAAACTATCCTGAGCCTTCATTCTCTGTGCTCTCACAAAAACTTGTTTTTGCTTCTCTTATAGCAGTTATTATGCTCTATTTTGTGCTACATTTTTGTATAATGCCCTATATCCCCTAGGAAATATTAAGCTCCTTAGAGTCAGCAACTTAGAGAGTTAACTTTGTATCTAAACACAAATATGAAAATCAGTCATATTTTAATGACCAGTGAGAGAACTTACCTCCTTAAATACTCTAATGCAGAAGTTGCAAACTTAAATGCAATCAGAATCCAGACATATAAATGCTGTGAGTTACCCACCCATCTTCCTGGGAACTGTGGTCAGGTCAATAGTGCATGGCCTGTGTGAAGGCATGGCAGTTCAGGAGTTCTTAATGACAATATCCATAAACAAAAATGACTGAGCAAAAAAAGTTTTGCTCATCAGATTAAGCTGGGCTGCAAGTTTGAGTTATCTGCTCTCATGGTAAATCTAAATTTTTTGGTTGAGTTCTTCAAGCAGCAATACCTCATACAATTCCAATACGGTATCATAATTTTCTACAGTTCTGATTTAGCATCCTACTGGAAGAGTGCTTAATTGACAATATTAAGATCTTAAATAAAAGGTAAGATTGGACACGTAGATGCAGAATGAACCATGAAGTGCCTGAGGCTTATTTTAATGTTGATTAACATAAGACAACAATGGTAGTTATTTTTTTTAAGATTTTTTTAAATTTATTTATGATAGTCACAGAGAGAGAGAGAGAGAGAAAGGCAGAGACACAGGCAGAGGGAGAAGCAGGCTCCATGCACCGGGAGCCCGATGTGGGATTCGATCCCTGGTCTCCAGGATCGCGCCCTGGGCCAAAGGCAGGCACCAAACCGCTGCGCCACCCAGGGATCCCGGTAGTTATTACATAAAGAGAATATCCATGACATTTTCATATTAATGTATTTAGTTTCTAATTACCATTGTGTGTTTCCTAGAAAGTTTTTAGGAGGTCTCTGTGTCACAGGTTTAATTACCTGTTTTGCTGTAGATTTAATTGACATAATAGTATTGTGTCTAGTATTTACCAACCTCTTTGTTGTAATATCACCAAATTATAATGGTCTGAAGCCCCATCTACTTTGCTAGCAGATTTTGATCTTCTGTAGTGATTTTCTTCTCCTGATATTTCTTATAATTATTTGGGATTAATCCTTCTGTTCTTTTGTGATCCCACTTGCCACCTGCTGCTTGATCTTCTGCCTCTCTCTGCCTCTCCTTTCTCTCTCTAGGCATGCTTCATGTTCTACTGCAGAGCTCCAAAAGAAACAATCATCTGCTAACTTCACTGCCCTTAGCAGAATCAGAAATCAATTGTGATGAATGAGTGATGTCATGTGTGAGAGGAGGGTGATGTGATTCTCAGGAGTCTGTCTTGTTGTGGGCTGTTCTACAGGGGAGAAGAGTCTCAAGTATTGTGAGTCCAGCTCTTTCAGGTTACCCACTAAAACTCCCTAAAGTCTTGATGCTCAAAACATGGTCCATGGACCAATAGAATCAGCATTATCTGGAAATTTATTAGTATAAGCCTACCCCAGATCTGCTAAATCAGAACCTCAATTTTAACACTAAAGCTTAAGAAATACTGCCATAAGCAGGGCAGCAAGGCCAGACTGGGTTCCAGACCAACACCTGTATTTTACCCAGAGCGTCAGGTACAGTGGCCAACTGGCTTATGCAGATTTTTCTAGAGCTTCAAGGGCTCTGATTATTCTAATTGTTGTTTTTAAGATTTTATTTATTCAGGAGAGACAGAGAGAGAGAGGCAGAGACATAGGCAGACAGAGAAGCAGGCTCCCTCTGGGGAGCCTAATGCAGGACTTGATCCCAGGACCCCAGGATCACATCCTGAGCCGAAGGCAGACTCTCAACCACTGAGCCACCCAGGCATCCCTTATTATTGTTGTTTCTTTTTAAATTTTCTTTCATCTCACCTCAATCAAATCCATCCCAATCCATTCAATGGTTTTTTTTTGTTGTTGTTTTATTTTTGGTTTTGTTTTGATTGTTTTGTTCATGGAAAGGAGAAGGGATTAGGAAGAAGAATCTAGTTATTTTATTCTCTACCTAAGAACTTCCTCAGCATCTAAGATTGATGAATGTTAACAGCCATCTGGAGGGATGGGCACTATCCAGTGACACCTGGAAGGACCTATGCATAATATATATGTAAGGGTAGCCAAGCAGTTCCCCCACCTGCCTCTGGTGAGAACAGCTATATTGTGAAAGTGATAATGCAATCCTGTCCTCTCCCACTATCTAAGATCCAGATCCAGAGTCATGTCAAAGAATATCATTACACAGATAATATAAATGTGATTTGGGCTTTCGGGTTCTTGTTTCACAGCTTTCCCCCTCCTGATAAATGTTTTTCCTTCAGCTAAACATCCAAGCCTTTTTCTAACTATTTAGGTTTTATGACTGTTAATTTCGGCCTTCTGGTTTCTGAGGTACCAAGATCAGAGGAAAAGTCTTTGGATGAATCCTCCATGCTGATCCTTGAGCCGTGGGGTAGGAAATATCTTTGGGTGGATCCAGTCACATTGCTTCTCACAAAATTACTTTCTCACCTGCAGAAGTAACTCAGGCAGTTCTGATTGTTCTGATTGTGGTATGTGACTGGACCCCTCCAGTTTAGCTCTGGCTCAGCTCCCCAGAGCCTGGCCTATCAGTTCTCTTTCCTGGGACTCTTTCTGTTGACTTTCCCAAACTTCAGTTCATTTGTGTGTGTGTCTGGCACTGAGATGATGTAAAGTTGCAGGCTGGATAATGGGCATGGGCATGGGCATTTGCAGAGAAAAGCAAAGCAAGCCTGTCTGCAGATTGAGAGCAACGGAACAGAAGGAGAAAAGAAGCAGAGGACATGAGGCAGAAAGTCCTGGCTTCTGGTTGGCTTTGCAGCCCTTGCCCAGTCTCCTGGGAGACAATGTTGCAGTCATACACCTCCTTTGGGGGTGCACATCTCCCCCAGCACACACACACAGTAAAACTTCTACCTTTTGTTTAGCTGTGTTCTCTTTCCTCTTCTGTTTCAGACTTTTCCCGCATTTGAAACAGATTCAGTGGGGGAGGTTCTTAGAATGCAAATTTCCAAACTCTAACTGGAGATATTTAGGACTGAGATGTAACCAGGGAATCAGTATTTCTTAGCTAAAAAATATGTATTTATAGGATTGACGTCTTCTAGTCTTGAAGGCCTGATAACCTTATTTTTCTTTAGGATTTTTATTTCAGTTCAGCAAATAGTGATCAAATACCTGCTGTTTTATCTACTATACTG